TGTATTTTGTCAATCGGTGGTAAAGTTGTTGTGTGTGTAGGTAATGGAAAGCATCACGGCTCTGTGGCTCACGTTGTTTGTTGTCCTCCTTGTCGGCGTATTGGATGCACTGTTTAGCATAGCGGAGGTTGGCCATTGATGAGTCGCCTTCTTCCCCCTAATTCACATCTTGCCTTCATCACATTTTACAAGGGAAGTCATGCAAATGCAAATTACTGACCCACATTGAGTGCAGGCTAACGCGAGGTGGAAGCACCGACTGTCGTGACATTGTCCTCATCCCCTCGAGAGCATCGCAATTCATGATGTGTCCGCGTAGGCGATAGTTGCCTCAATGCTTACTGTACTCCTTCCTTACTGTTGCCAAGACGTTGGATTTGATCACTGTGTTTTTGTTTTGTGAAGGTGCATGCATAAGGTATGCGACACCTCCAGATTCTACCATTGAGGCTCAACTAAGTTAACGCATTTCTGGTGTTTTGTTGCTTTTGATGACACGCTCAATGTGCCTGTTTGTCTCGTGCTTGGGATGTGATCGCTTTGGTGGCTCCGTTGTCCATGGGATGGCGATTTAATGGCACCATTTGCTTACCACTTTATGAACTGACCACATAATGGCATTTAGAGTGGACGTTTGCTCTACTTTGGTAGGCCAGAAGATTTGTCAACCCTGTTGGGACGGTGGTGAAGGGGATAGGTTGGTTTATGGTTCTCGATTTTGAAGCCACCTGCATTGGTCGTGGTCGTGTTCAGTGTCAGGAGATAATTGAATTCCCCGTCCTTCTACTGGAGGCGGAGAGGTGTCGTGAAATTGACCGTTTTCATCGCTATGTACGGCCAATTGTTAATCCTCAACTCTCCGACTTTTGCACTAAGGTGAGCTCTTTTTGCACATTCTACAGACGCTTCGATTCTGCTATACTTGTTGCACCATTATTTTTTCACAAGGCGTTGTTGTCTCTTTGTAAAAGACGGTGTCTTGGCTACCCTCCCTTCCTGCTTGTTCTTGTTCTGCTGCCGATCCTCCTGAAAAAGTGATTCACTGCTTCATGCAACCACCAACTTGCTTTTGCTGGTAATAGAGGCATTGAAGGGTGAATGGTGTTGAATTTTGCCGAGATAGGCCCTGAGCATGCATTTATTCATTATAGTGACACTGTCAAGCCGTGTAATCAACAGCAGGAATGGGGAGTGAGGTCATTTTTAATGAGGTGGCGAGAAGCTTCCACATTCTGGAAGACCAGCTTCCCTTCCACCGTCTAAAGTCGATCCATTTGGCTACTGAAGGCAGAAAAGTGAATGAAAGGGTGGCTTAGCATTTGCTCACAATAACGAGAAGTGCGTAAACTTTGAACAGGATTATCAAATGGTCCATTTTCCTGCCCCCCAATAGCAAGGCTCTTTGAGGTGTCTGAATTGGCTTTAATGTCTGCCGCTTCAGTTGACTGGAATAATTCAGGACATGGTGGATTCTCAGCCCACCTTTCCTACCGTCATGAAGGTGAGTCGTCCTGATGCTTTCATTGTCGTTTATTTCTATGCAAGCTTCTCTTTTTTTCTCTCCTTCTCCCTCTCTCTCTTCTTCCCTATAGGAATTCGAGGATTGGGTGGACAGTCACTTTTCAAGCGATGAGGAGAAGTCAACTTTTGCCCTTGTCACTTGTGGAGACTGGGATTTGCGTTTTATGTGAGGGGCATAGTGTTTACACTTCATTTATTACTCACTTTGATGATTGTTTGACCCCTCCTGAATCACGTTTTCTCACGTCTTTCTTCACCAGCATGGGTTTAGGGTGGAATTATTCCAATTTCTTATTTTCACTATTATTTCAGGTTGCCACATCAGGCCGCACTGTCCAATCGCCAGATTCCGTCTTACTGTCGACGCTGGGTGGATGTAAAGAAGGCAAGCCTTTCAATATTATCACCTCTTGTACCTTGTTGTACGCCTTCAAATTACTTGTGCTAGACGCGGTAGATTCATACATATGTGGGTCATGAGGTGTTCTGCTTAGTGCAAACTCGTCTCCCTCCATAGTCGTAATGAAGAAATGACTGCCTGTCGGGTTCATGCATCGTTGTAGGCCTATGCTGAATACACTGGTCGACATGTTGATGGAATTGTGCCAATGTTGAGGTGTCTGAACCTTCCCCACGAGGGTCGACTTCACAGTGGCATAGGTGAGTTACATTGTCACCCTCTTTCGGCGCCTTGGCTTTTACTAACATCACCTTTTGTGTAGACGACTGTCAAAATATTGCCAAGATCCTGCAGTTTCTTGTTGCGGAAAAGGCTACTCTTCGATACTCTCAGTAGCTGCAGCTGGATTGTAGTATGTTCTCCCTCCACCAACTGTTTGCTCACCTCAATTTTACTTCACCTTTAATTTGATTGAGTTTGAGTGTGAACAACTATTTCAGGCAATAAGTGTGTCAATGTCTGCAAATTGTGGGTATAAACGCTCTTCAGCATTGAGGCCGGCAACACGACTGCTTGTCTGTGTACTTCGTAGACTCAGAGACTCTCTTGCTGCCATCGTTTGATTGCTGTTGAGGTGTGCATAGGTCAAACACCGGGGATACCAGCTCCTTCCATCCGTATTTCGTATTCAGAATGGTGATGTAGATGTCTCTTCGAAGCACCGCTTTCAACAGTCTTTGCTTAAGGCATCTTCCCAAATAATCGTAGAAGGGACGTGTGGAGGAACGAGCAACCACCTGTTACTCCTCCTCCAAACAAAGATCTGTTAGGCCTTATAAACTCGGTTTTTTGGACAAGATTCATGCTGACGGTGAGTCCTGCCAAATGACTGCCGATTTGGCAGTGATGTGGAGGATACGCGTATATCGTTAATGATGCAGGCCGTAGTCAGGTTTGGCCTTTTAACTTTGCAAATGCTGTTGATCAAAAGTCATGAGTTAGGAAACAAATCTGTGCATTTTCTCGCCATCGGCACCTCTTTTCTATGCATGACAATCCATTGTTCCAGCATTCTCTGGAAACGCTATCGACGCGGCCACTCTTCATTGGAGGTGTCTATGGTGGATTTTGTTGGTAATTTCTAGAAACGTTTTGACCTACAAAGGAACACGCATCTATTGTCTGGAATGAATGTTTACAGTAGGAATTTGTAGGGCAGCAAATTCGGGGCGCCACTGACAGATGCATATGCACAAAAGGTCTCCATGCTGTACGTCTTTAAAGTCTTGTGTGGATGTATGAACTCGCAAATTGAGGCTCTTATGTCCAACCCTTTAAATATAATTCCCTTTGACTTGATTAATAGATGAATTGAACCATGCCATGTTCGTGGCATCTAAAGTAAACTCACTACTAGCTTTTTTTTTTTTGCGGTTCAATATTTCTGATAATGCAATAACACCATGTAACTTGGTTAGTTTTTTTAGCGCAAAACTGGCTACTATTGTTTAATATTAGTAGCACTTTTATTTTAACTAATTATCCTGATTTGGACTTAGTTTCTTTCCACTAACAATAGGATTTCTGAAACAAGTCCTCATATTTCACATTCCTTTCGATCATTTCAGTGTATTTGTGGTTGAAAAGTCAAGCCACATTTTGTACTTCAGAGTTACCCCATTGAAAACTAAAAATTTGACTATCACACTGACATTTGTGAAATATAATTTCTATTCACAAAACGTATCTTTCAATGCGTTGCGAGGTTGGCCGACGTAATGTATACAATTTTGTGCTTTGCTCATTGAGAGAATTGAGGAGTGGACGATGAAATTGTGGTTGTCTCGGAGACAGGACGCAGCCTCGAAGTGAATCACGTGCATGGCGGTTGTAGGAAGTGATTGTTTTTCGGCTGCGCATTTGCGCCTGTAATCTGATTCTACCGATCCTTTCCATCTGCTAAAAAATGTTACAATCATCTGACACACTCAGGAGGCTTCAATATGAGGGTTGGGATACATAAAGACTACGAGCATATCGCTTGTATTAGTTGAAGGCAATTAATGCTAAGCGCCCTTTTGAATGCCGAAAGTGGTTGGAAATTATGATTAATTTCGTGAGTGGGGAAAAGATTCGTATGTTATTGGGCGTGAGCAAGAGCTTTATCCTCGAGAGCCCTAGCCTTTCGTTTACCCTCTTACATTTTAACTCCTTATCAAAGTGAAGTGTGCAGCCGCGCTGAAATGTTGCGTACAATTTGGATACAAATCGCATTAGCAGCATGCGTTCCTACGACTGAAATTTTTTTACTCAGAGAGGCTTGTGATCTCTGCAGAACAAAATTCCCTTTTTGAGGCACTTTTGTATGCGAAACCAAGCCTCGCGAAATGAATGAAAGCTCTTTAAAGTTCACGATGGGGATTGTGCTGCCTCAGCATATCCTTCTGGTGATAATGATTTATTCGTCAAGCTTTCAGTAGGGAGGGCTGTATTTTTGTTTTGGAGTCACATTCTCTTCGAGACAATCTAGTTCATTCTACCGTGGAAGGCGATTCAACATAGACAAGGTCTCATCCAAATCACTGATATAAGACCTAAGAAGCTCTTGTTTGGTGCATTGAAGCCGAAGTTGTGGTAGCGTACCCCATACCCAGGCACCGTCAACATGAAAGACTGATAACAGTGTCACGCTTAATAAATGCTTTTGATATATATTTATAATAACTACTTATGAATCTTTAAAAGTAGTAGCAGTTGTATTCACAAAAAGATGGAGGCAAGAGGTGAATGAATGAAAGGGAAGGGGTGAAGATATGTTACAAGTACACGCTCGGGCAGTGCTTGTGGGAGAGTGGTAGTGGACTGCTCTTGGTCATCAAAAGGACAATGGTTTGTGAGAGTTTGTGCGAGCGGAGGGAGGTGGGAAGTCTGTTTCCGTTGTTCAACACATGCAGCTGCACTCCGGTTGTAGGGTGTAAATGTCCCGATGCCATTCGCAGTAGTACTCTCGAAAACTGCGACTTAACTGTCGCACCAGTCGTTTCACTCGCTTTGTCCTTCGCTCTTCACGTGTAAACCGCCTACGTCCTGCCTCGGCTTTACGAGGGCCCCTTTTGCTGTGCAGTGGATAAGGCATACCCGTCTGGCTGTACAACGACCTTGCACGTCGAAGGTAGTTCCGTCGTGCACGTTTTTGCACCTCCTCTGGCGTCTGTTTTGTACAATACTACGTATAATGAAAGAAAAGGCATAATTTAGCTGAAAAAGCTAGTGGCTTGCATTGACTTGTCGACATGTAAACCCCTTGGAATCACACAGGTTGAGGTAAAAGTGGTGCCACTTTCAATGAATGTGAATTTACATCGCTCAGGCTAAACAATAACAAGTATACAGGCAGTCAGGTAGCTCATGAGTTCGTTTCCTCCCTCTCATGTCCAAGCAAGGTTGTGCTCCTCTCCGCGTGGTTTGCTACACGCCCTCTGCCGTGTCAACGTCCGCATCTCCTCTCCCCTAGTGCAGGTGGGGAACAAGGACACA